AGGCTTTGAGCAACCTGGTCTAGTGGAAGGTGTCCCTGCTGCTGGCAGGGGGGTTGGGACTGGATGAGCTTTGAGGTCCCTTCCAACCCAAACCAGTCTGGGATTCTATGATTCAATAACTTCACTCTGCCCTGACCATCTCCTGCAAGCACAATGAACACTTACGTCTATGATGAGGTACTCAACCGGGAGCGGGCGAGCCAGCTGTGTGATCTCATTGCCAAACTTGTCTATGTCCTGAAAGAAAAAAAGAGTGTGATTATTCCTCAGTGTGGAAGGAGGGTGAAGCCTAAAGGATCCTGCCCTGGAGATGCCCATGCAGGAGCCCAGGGATCCTCAGCTCTGGCAGGTCGCTCAGGGTGTAGAAAAGAACCTGCTTGTATGTGGCTGGGTGCTGCAGAGCTGCCCCGTTCCCTGCAGCTCCTCGGGGTTAGAGATCATCCTATCTCCCTAAGCCAGGCTGTCTGTGTCCCCATGAGCCGAGGGAACGCGTGGTCACAAACCACCGTGGTCTTGTTTGCCTTGGTCATCACCACTGGAGCAGTGCCCAGAATTATCTAAGAACTATAAATGCCATTTAAGGAGCAGCAGTGTCTGAAAAGAGAGGGACAGTAGGGACAGTGCCACATCTGCTTCCCCCACCGAGGCACACCTGACTTCCTGCAGAACCGGACACGACTCTCACCCAGCTCTCGCCTGAGGACTGGAAATCCAGGCAGCTCCTCACACACAGACCTGAGGAGCCGGCGTATCCCAACGCATAAACTTGTTTTGCTTTGCCAGACGAATTGAACATAAAGTTTAATTATGGAGAAAAACGGCCAGCATATGTTCATTAATCATGAAATGACAATTAGACGTGATTTATGTCAAACATACCGAGTTCAAACACAGCTTCGGAAATAAATTCATGAGAACTGACACTTTTCATTAAAGATTCTGTAAGAGGGGGTTGTATTTTCTACCTAAATCATCACTTAACATGTTATAAATCATTCATTGAGCCCTATATAAATCATATGCCCATAATTTCCAATCAGGGACTTTTACATTAAAGTTTACATTTCCTGAGCTCTCAGCAGTGGCTGGAGGCAGAGCCGGAGCCGCCGCACGCCGGCAGAGCCATCACCCCAACATCTCAGTGGCTTTGGGGACCTCGGTGAGAGGCTGGAGTTGTGAGCAGGGTTCTGTCCATCAGGATGAGCTGCCCACAGCCCACTCCCTCCTCTCCTGGCGTGCACCACTCCCCTGTTATCAGTGTTTCTGGGTTACCATGGTATTTACACAGCACAAGTATGCGGTGCAGCAGCCAGCACCCCGCTCTCACGCTCTGCTCTCCCGGTACAACCCAGATGGACATCACCCCAGCAGGCTGCAGCATGCTGCTCCCCTCCAGGCAGCAAGCCCCCATTCCCAAGCCCCCTCCCCAAACATCCTCTATCCCCAGGAATAGTTCCCTTTGGAAAAAAAATTAAAATATTTCAAAAAAAAAATCTACCTTTTAGTCTTTGAAGCTCCTTTTAAAAGCAATCCCGATAAGGATCTTTTCTCCTTGAACATGACAGGTTGTTGGCCCTGTGGTTATTTCAGCCAACGAGCCTGGTGGCTCGTGGTCTCAGATCTCTCTGGCTCTGACAGGAGCAAGGAGGAGATGTGGAGCCTTTTCGGGGAGATCACAGGAGCTGAAAGCTAACCTGCTCCTAGATCTGGGTGATACTGCCAAGAGTCAGGAATCAAATCCAAACAGACCGAATCAGCTTCCCAAACACAACCCTGCCCCTGCAAGAACCAACCTGCAACAACTCACACATAATTAGCCCATCTGGAATTCATTTTCAAATCTAATTAAGTTCTAATATGCAGAAACATTTTTCCAGCACCTGTTCGCTTTAATCTCTGCCTCTGGGGATTTCCATGTTAAATGCTTTCTTTTTAATGTCACGCTGCTGAGGCCTTCAACACACGCTGGAGTCCTCCTACCAAACTGGAACCTCGCTCCCCCCCAGTCCAGGACGTGTCTAGACTCTCCCCCTCCCCCCCCCCCACTAATGCTGACACTCTTCTCCAACCCCCATACATCATTTTATTAGGCAATTAAGTTTTAAAGGCTTTAACAAACGTCAAGCTGGGAGAATTACTGGGAGAAAGATATCTTCATCCTCAACTCGGCAGTCACTGGGGTCCCAGCAGCAGGTTATCACCCCAGGACCCCCCCAAAGCCACCAACGCCCACGTGCAGCAGCAGCAGCAGCAAAGGGAGGCCAGGAAGGGGTTAAGGAAAGCGCAAGTATTTGGCTCCTGGACAAAAATTAAGCAGTAAGGCCTGGAGGATTTGGACAATGAATCATCCTGAAGACAGGAGTCAACTGGAGAGGCTGCAGCAGGCGCTGCTGTGCTCGGAGCCTCTCGAACCACTGTTTGGGGGGAAGAAGCTGCAAAGGGATGAGGTCAAACAGGGAAGGGGACGTGTGTCCCACACACCTCTGCACACCTCTGTGGCACTGCAGGACGGCTGCTGTGGGAAAGGCTCCTGCCTGGCTCCAAGATTTCCATGATGAGGGTGATGGAAGCAGCCGAGCGAGGAGCCCGGGCGGCTGTCGGTCAGGAGAGAGGCTCCGGCTCTGCGTCCCAAGGCTGGTCAGTCACTAGCACCCCATGCTGTCACTCCTCCCCATGGGTTCATTCTGCTGAAGGTACCGTGGAGCTGAGCAGTTGCTCGTCCTTCCTGTGTATTAATAAATCCCAGCCTTGCTTTTCCCTCTGCTCATTTCCAAGAGCTTCACCGGGCAGTCCTGCCCCCTCGCACAGACAGAGCGGCTGAGGCGCAGGGACGGAGAGACTTCTAAGAGCAAGGGATAGGTCAGCGAGAGTTGAAACCCTTCTCAGGAGACCCCTTGTGAGCTCATCCAGCATCCTCCTCCCCAGAGCAGCTGGGACATTGAAGGCTAAGGTGGTTTTTCCAGTCCAACGTGACCCGTTGGTAGGAGGCCAGCCAGGGAAAGTCCTGCAGGGAGTTTTCACTAACAGCGAGGAACTCTCCACGCAGCCTGGCTATCGTGTTTTCCCTGGGAAGAGGATTTTGGAGTGAATGGGTGGAAGCAACATGTGCCACACCGGGGACAGCCGGGCTCTGAGGTCCCATTCAGCTCAGGGTTCCCCCAGGGACAGATGGGACCATGTTTAAGAGATGAGAAGCCAAGGCCCAGACACCGTCTGAGCCGCTGTAAATGCACAAAGCACGTGCAGGACTCGACGAGGGCAAAGGGCTGTTTCACAAGGCTGGTGTCACAGTAAAGGGCTTTTGTCTTACACCATCCCAAAGAAACTCGGGGGGGAATATTAAGGCAGCTGTAAAATGCAATTCACTGCCAGGATGACATCGTCATGTTTGCGCTAAGCTGACATAAATACCTGTGATAAGAGACAAAGCCAGCCAGTCCCCAAATCCAATTATTCAAGTGTTTCAAAGGGTGTGTAAAACAGTTCTCTCTTCCCCCCGTTTGGTGGGAGGCTGAGATGCCTGTGAAGAGAATCGTGGAGCAGTCAGACAACGCTGCAGCCCCACAGACTCGGCAGAGTGAGCCCAGGGAGCCGGGAGCAGGAGGAGAGCGGGCACGGAGCGTCGGCACCACGACGGGAGGGATTGCACCAGCTGCCAGTTCAGCTCTGAATAACCAACCCACGGTTTGGAAGGCACTTTCTTAGTGAAATCAAAATAAATATGGGTATTTTCTAGAACCAGATGGACAAAGGAGACTGCATGAGGGCAGAAGACGGGGAATGGAAAATATCCATATGGAATATTCAGCTCCCCCTCACCCAGCTGAGGAACTGGGCAAATTGGCCATTGCAACGTCATCTTTACCCACAAAAAGAGCAGTTACCCCGACTCCTGTGTCTGTGTCTTGACCAGAGCAAATCCTCCATGAGTTTTGTTGCACTGAACTGGCCAAGAAGCATGTGCGGGTTGTGCAATATTTGAATTGGAAACAGCACTGAGCTGTGATGCTTCACAGACAACCCGGGGAGGCAAAGGGGGATGTTTTCTTCCTTCTGGCTAATCTTACCTCCAGAGGCATCTCAGAGCAAAGTAACTTGTACTCGTGGTCCCCAAAGCCCTCGACTTTCACACTGGAGCAGAACTCCAGCCTTCACAAGCCAGGAAAGCAACGGCCACATGTAGAAAGCACAATATTGCCAATTCCACTGGGGTGGTTCCTCTGAGCAGCAGGGCTAGTGGCCAACATAAAGAGAATGGTAAAGAAATCCAGAAATCACAAGGTTCAGGAAAAACGCCCCGTCTCCTGAGGCAGGACAACGCTGGTGCCATCAGTTTTCCTATTTCCATGGAAGAAAAGCCCATCTATGCTAACACACCATCGAGGTGAGTCACGTTCCAGCAGTAAGAGCCGCAGCCCCGGGGACGTGGTAGCCCCTGCTCTTGCTCCACCAACACAAAACATGGTGCAAACTGTGGAAAAACAGCTCATTGACCAAAACCAGCCACTCCTCACTTCCCAGGCACCTCTTCACCTGTGCACTGAAGTCCCCGAAGCTGCAGCTCTCTCCTGCCTGCAGTGCAGGTCCTCACACCCTTCCTGCACCCGCAGCGTTACCAACACAGATGCATTGAACTGTTGTCGTTGAAGGAACAACACCTACTGCACGTGGAGGCATGAGACATCTCTGAAGAACCTGACTGAAGCACCATCGTTGGCTGATGCTTCACTAGAGATGCAGACAGTGGCACCTCTTCCTAATTTGCAAAGCTGAAGGTGAATCTGCTGCCTTACCCTGCTGTGGACAGACACCAGAGTTCCATACATTTTTCCCTTGCATCTGGATTCGTAGTTGTTCTATAAATACATCCACACTCCACAAACATTGGCCTTCTGGTTCTCATCCAATTAGAATAAATGTGTACAGCTCCTTTCATCCTAAAGGGCTTTTCAAATGAATACTTGCACATTACAGAGAAATATAGAGATGGACTTTTATTCCTACCAGCAATAACTTCTCAGTTTGAGAGAAAACACAGCAACTATTGAAAAGTGCAGGTTTCTCCTCAAAGCTGTACTTTTGGGAGGGGAACCCCCTGCATTGAGGATTGGGGAGAAAGCTGCTCAGCTCCTGTAGCTTCAGCTGAGAAAAGGGGGAGCAGGATGCTGTACCACAAAGCCAAGCGCCGGGTTCCTGCTCCTCATCCTTGAACCGACGCTCTGACACCAGTGTTGTCACCAACCCAGTAACTATGAGGTAGTGTCTCTGACCTCAAGCCTCGTGCATTTAATGAGACCCCGAAGGTTTTCAAAGCCAGGAGTGACTAAGCTTGCCATTGATTTAAGAACATTCCAAAAAAAAAAATTAAATAAAAAATTAAGAGATCCTCCAGCCAAACACGTTTAAGGCTGAAGGACAATTACACCCGCCAGAGCAGTCCTCAAACCTTCCTTGAGCACATCATGAAAAAGGCAATTATGGATAGAAGTTATAAAACATATGAAATAAGCTACAGCCCAGCCCAGTGAATCAGTGGTTGATGGAAATTTCCACAGAAGGCTGGAGCCATCAGTTAGCATTTTGTTTATCTCCCCTGCTTCAGATTACGAATGGGAGTGAAGATCTTCTGGGAACACCCACTGGTTTCCTGCTACTCCAAACACCCAGGGTGGCCCACATGTGGGACACAGACCTACGGGACCTCCTGCAAGGCTGCACCCGGGCTGTGGCACAGCACGGGTTCCTCTGGAGCAGGACCACAGCACGCCAGGAGATGATCTCATCTTCACATTCAGGGCCAACCCTTGCACAATCCAGCTCTGCTGTATCTAAATCAGACCTGGCTTATCAGCTCCTCAGAGCGAGCTGTCTGCATGCTAAGGAAAAAGGCACGGATTCCATCCACCTTTCCTCTCAAGCACTGAATTTAACCAAAAGGTGCTGATTTTCAGGTGGTGTCAAGACAAGCCAGCAGTCCAGCATTAAGGAGTGGAGGGGGATGACAGACTCATTCACCCAGGCCAGCATTTCCCAGTTTAGGGCATACAGGACCATTCTGACCAGTTCACTTTCTGTCACTGGTGCACAATAAGCCCATTGCAGTTGTGCCAAGTGAAAGTAAAAGTAGTTTTGCTTGTCCTGTCCTTAACGGCCGGAGACAGGAGCTCTGCAGGCTGAGCGGGCTGTGAGTATCAGACACAGACAAGGAGGAGATAACTAACTTAGGTGATGGATGGGTAATTAGTTGGCAAGCAATGCAGTTAATTAATTCCTCTGTCCTGGCTCACGGGGCACCAACACACACAGATTTGAGAAGCAGTGCTATTAGCCTCCACAAAGATCCTGTCCCCAAGTTTCTAACTCGGCTGTGCAGATACAGAGGGGCTGAAGATCTCCAGAAACAACTGTCAGGGGAATAGTGACAGCCCATTCATCACCAAAAACCACCCAAACCTGCAGCAGACAGGTGACCTGACCAGCACTGCTCTTGTCTGATGAGTATTTTGGATCCACACGTATCCCCTGCTGCTCCTCAGGACCAGTTTTTGGAGCTTATGGTTTGACCTGAGAAGAGGATCTGGCAGTAACCCCAGTACTAGAGAGGAAAGTCAGGGGTGCACCCTGGTCCAAAAGCCATCCCACCTTCCTTGTATTGCAGAGGAGCGTGCACAGAGAAGTGTGTCTCTCTTTTTGCTGCGTGAACTACACTGTCTTTTGTTTCATCTGCTGCCCAGCTGGTGCCTGTAAGTGTGTCACACACGAGCGAGTCCCTGGCACGGCGTCAGGAACCCACCCGCACCATTTCTGCGAGCGCACATCACGTGGCTGTGCTGTGGAGGAAGCTGAACTCAGCTGGGGATTCAAATCAACAGAGAAGGATGACAAATACTGCCAATAAATAGGGAGGAGGAGGTGAGTTCAGAGCACTCACTTGGTGGATCACTGCAGACCTCATTTAGAAGCTGGATAGCCAGTGGCTACCGCTGCACTGGAAACCATAACAGCACGTTTACGAGGCGGGGGGAAATGGAGCTTATGCAATTACTTTGCAGACATGTGGTGAACGGTTACTACTGAAAATAGTTCAGACCTCAAAGACATCCTTTCCTGAGCTGGCCATACTGATTTCCAGACATGCAGCAGAGGCGTTTTTGTAGCTCCCCACAGGCACGCAGCCCTTACCTTATAGAACACATCAGGCACATACTGCTCGCTGCTGGACTCCTTGGCGTAACCCAGCTCCGGCGCGTCTCGGCACGGCAGCAAACACTCATCTCGAACCAGGGCCATGCACTGATTCGAGACCTGGTACCCTTCGAAGTGGACTTGGTTGTCAGGACCACCTGGAAGAGAAAAAGTTGGTAAAAATCCCAGATAAGAGCAATTTGCCCCACATTTGAGAGGCACCCCGCAAAAAG